TAGAAATCATTCTTTCATACACATTTTTTTAATGATAGAGGCGGACTGGCAAGCATGGGGTACAGCTGGTGGTAGTTAAAATACCACAGTCAATAGCATCAAAACAGGATGCGATGTCGAGCTGTTTTATATTTAGATATCCGGAAATCCACAGACTGAAAGCGAAACGCGATTAATCTTGACGGTTTTTTCATTTGTGGACGGTGGTTCGTGAGCCGGACGGAATATCGATATTCCTAACATCCACTTAATATCCAAATTTCCAGACGTAGGACGACTTGTTTCAGACTAAATACAAATCGATTAGAAAAATGTTGGACGATTCAATTCTGTCGATCAATAATTTAATAAACAATCATTAGTATTGTCTACAGTTTAAGGATCGCCTTTGTAGCTAAATGGTTAAACGTGTTGCCTAGGATTGCGTCAAGCGCGAAAAGTCCTAGGTTTGAGTCCCGAGAAACCAGTTAATTGTTTCGTTTGGGCAGGGCACAAAAGTCTTATTAACTACTTGCCTATAAATAAAACGGATCAGTGAAACGGACACAGAAATGTGTTCGCCACATGCCCCACGAGAGGAAACGGGATTTCATACATAGTTTAAGTATTGATAAAACACCTTTGTGTACACTAAGTAACTTAATAAATACATGTATCATAAGTACAATGTAGATTTTATACAAGTCTGAATTTACTGACTGAAATCCGAACCACTATAGTACTTGTTACTGGCACAAAGGAGACTTCAGGCGAAATAAATTAAAATTCGAATTTTAAATGTTTAGAACAGAATCGTTTGGAGAAGTAATAGTTGGTGAATTGATTCGACGGAAACGAATTGGAAACGTCGCGAAAACACTTTGTAACAATTTTTTACTTTGCGTTTTCTTAGTTTCTCGAAGAGATTTATTTTTACGCGAGACGGTACACGGCAAAAAGTTGTAGGACATAAGAATAATGTTACTGTCTTAAAACTAGGAGTACCTCGCCGATGTTGATGCAGTTTGAAATACATATTTATGTACCTCATTGCGGGCGAAAGTACGTGCCTTTATAAATAACCTTTGTAGCTAAATGGTTCGACTCCAAGGATTGTTATGGTCGGACAGAACAAAGAAGTCTGATCAACTACTTTGCCTGCATCGATGCGATCAATGAAACGGACCCAGAAATGTTGTCGCTCTATGCCCCACATAATGCAAGTATATATATATAAATAATGTTTGTTAACGGAACGTATGTAACAAGTTCGACTCCCGTCTATGGCATCAATGCTTACACACCTTATAATTCTTTTACAAGTGTTTTACGTACCTTAGCAATTATTAAAAAAATAAAGACGTTACCGCAGTGAAGATGTTCAAATATTAGCCTATTTTTGTATTATATAATATAAAGATACTATATGAATTAGTGTTTGATTTTTTATTGCGTTATTATTATTGTAATGTAGAACAACGTTCGTTTCTTTTGAGAAACAGCCGAATCAAAGAAACTTTTACTTATAACATTGAAAAGTCTTATTTTTCCGATAAAATTGTCAACAATTTCCATCGTCAAAAGCAATAAAATAAAGGCTATGAAATATTGTTGTCTGAACCTGAGGTTATTTAATCTATCTCAAAATTGTGACACCTCAATAATGAGATACTTGTCTTATGACATAAGCTGAAGCGATTTTTATATTAGTCATTTAATTTGCGAACTATTAAGACACCTTCACGTAGAACATTTTACTTACTGTACATTATTTTATTATTACTATTCAAACACTTTTAACGGATATAAAGCGAAATATGGTAGCGAAACTATGCCCCGCGGCTGGTTTAAAGCGTTTGTTTCAAATTTATTTTAAGTTTTAAACCATTTTTTTAATGCTTACTACTCGCGTGAACAACAGACAGTACTATCGTTACTTTTTACAGTAACTTTACTATAATTATGAACTTCTTTCTTTGTAGATATGGTTCTTTGATTATGGTGTTATATTTTAGAATATATGTTTTTTATTCACAGAAACTTTTGCTTAAGATTGTTGGCTGCTGGAATAATAAATTTCAACAGTATAATAATTTCCTACTTTTTAAAATATATTTCCGTGTAATACATTTCGGAGGTACATATAGAAGAAAGAGATTAATTTAAAAGTATGAGATCTATTTTAAAGTCACTCAATTCTTGATCCTACGATACAGATAAACTGGTTATTATAAAATATATGCAAAATTTAAACCAATACTTAAACGAACCAAACCACTAAAGTATAGAGTCTGAACCAAGTACTGATAAATTAAGAAATAATATTATGTATATTACTCTCATGACTTGGACCATACGATCTAGATTGTAGGCGGCGTATCAATCATTCTTGCAGGTGACATCTTAGCGCCTACCGAGCCTTCGCCAATATCAGATATTTTATATTACTAGCTCTTCCCATACTTCCGCTTTCGAAATATTGACGTCATAACTATGTAGAAATTCATGTCATTGAACATTTACTAGCGTCGCGTCTACGTAACATTTTAGCACAGGAATTGTCAACCTTTTTTTAGGTATAAGTCGAATTATAATTTACTAGCTGTGCCCGTGACTTCGTCCGCGTGGTTTGCGGTAGAATTTTTAATTATTTAGGCTGTTTATTAATTTAAGTAAGTGAGAATTTAAGGCAGCCAACCTATGTTGTAAGTGATACTTTGCCGCACATCACTCCAACTCTAACTCCCACTCCTACTCATATTCCCAAAAAGCCAAAGAAGAAAGTTTCATTGTTCTAGATTAAAAATCCACGAATTTTCAACAAACTTTCATCCTCCTTCTGGATCCCTATCACCCTTTATTTGGCATTAAAAAGTAGCCTATGCCCTTTCTCAGTTCAGTAGTTTCGGCGGTAAAGCCGGACAGACGGACAGACAGATAGAGTTACTTTCGCATTTATAATATTAAGTATAGATTTACAAGCGTGCCTTACTTTAACTTTCTTAATCATTGCTATCTTGATTTCCAATTGGATTTAGATAAACATAAACTTTTTAGTGGATTATAATCTGTAGAATTATATAAAGTAATACTTGTGTAAAAAAAAGCTGCCCTTTTAAGGAACAAATACTAATTTTGAATTAAATGACTTGGAACTACATATATCATTTGTAAGTAAGTACTCGTATTAAATTAATTATAAGCCTTACATTTGACGCCATAACGCGTTACGTAACGAAGCGGTTTTCATTCCCATTAGTCAATATTTAAAAAAACTTTCAACACGTAATTACGATCATGAATTCGTAAGAAATAACCTGTTTAGTGCTTTAATAACAAAGAAATTCGAAAAGTTGTAGGAAAGCCTGCAGTTTCAAATGTTCCTGCAGTAATTTAAACGGATTTAAAACTAATTATCAACTTTACGAAAGTTACTGAGTAAATTAGGTCGTCAAAACGTAAAACTTTCGGTATCTGTACCGGCTTTGGCGTGTTACAAAAGTTATAGCTCGTTTGTTTAGGTCTTTAGTCAGCTAAAATTTGTTTAGCTGGCAAATACGATGTTTTGCGGTACTAATTACGCATAGTGTATACCTACATATGTCTCATATGTAAATAAAAGCTGCAACCACAGTGTAAATAAATATCTCTGGCCCAGGTTATCATCACAAACTGAGGAGTAAATTTTAAAGCAACACCTAATTGCAGTAGAGTAGCGTGCTAAGTAAAATCTCGTTTCCCCCTCATGGGGCATGGGGCGAACACATTTTTGTGTTTGTTGCACTGATCCGTTCTTTAACAGGCAAGTAGTGTCAGACTAGTGTACCCTGCTAGACCGATATTTTTTTTTGTTTCGCTGGGATTCGAACCCAGGACCTCTCGCACTTAAAGCGATGCTAGGCAATACGTTTAACCATTTGGCGACAGAGACGGTACAGTAACGTTCTAAGTCTTTCTTAAATCTTTCTATGAGAGAGAAGACCTATATGAGGAGCATAAACAGTGAGATATAAATAAGTTGAAACGAAACGCGAGTAATAAGAATTTTTTGGTCGATTTCATATTGAGGAGACTAGACTAGATTCTTGGCACAGGAGAAAAATTTAAAAACCACTTACTTAATTGTTTATAGAGAAGTGTTGCACTATATCACTTTGTACACAGACTTAAAATAAACACGAATTATTACAAAAATATAGGATGTTACTCTGACCGTGTCGAGACAAGGAGAGATTTATTTCATCATATAAACAATATCTTTCAATAATTTAAATATAGACCTTCCAAAAATCCTTTTAATCTAAATGTGAAAGATGCCTGCCAACAACAACGCACATAATATGTAAATTCGAACATAATAAATTTGACGGCGCGACACATGATATTTGACGTTTGCTGTCGACGACGTCGGAACAGAATGGCAGCATGACATATGTCAGCTGTCTGTCAGCCGCCATTCTTGCGGAACGTCACACCGGTGGAAGCGGGGCGGCCATCTTGTTCACTTCGGAATCAAGAACCGCCAACGCACCACGCACTCGACGAATCGCTTATTTTCGACGTCATCTTTAACAGTTTCTAAGTTGATTTAATTTTAGTATCGTTGTCAATGCCTAATTAAAGAGTGTTAGCGTTATATTTTGTTAATCTGTGAAGTTAAGGAGATATAAATCATTGGAGAATCAATTTGTGACTTTGTTCGAGTTTCTGACCCACGTGAAACATGGAAGATTCTGATACAGGCCATCCTGAGTCTATAAATTCAATACATAATTATTATGAAATAAATAAGACGTCATAACAACGCAACGCTTTTTTGCACTAAAAACCTTTTTGGTTGAGGGACCTAAAAGGATGTTCTGACAGTTATCATCTATCAAGGTAGGAATGTAATCAAAGCAAACAGTTTAGTTTAACACAAAATTATTAGAAACAATAATTATACCATGATTTCGTTTGGATAGGTCGTTAAAACAACATTTCAATGTATCTTAAGCCCATTTTGAAAAGTTTAACTTCCAATGGGTACGTTAAACAGTAAAGAAATGGTGGCTAGACGAAAGATTGACACTGCGACGAGCAATTCCAGGTATTGTATAGTGAAGTCAACTTATGAGAGGATAAACGTACGTTATGTAACGCGTTACAATTTTGTAGGTCTATATATTAAGTCGACATCGACTTAAAATTACTGTATAAAAATAAAATATTTCTTTTTAATTAAATCGTAAATCATTAAATATTACTTTGTACGTTTTGGGTTACTGTTTGAAGTGGATGTTTTTTGTTAAAAATTATTCTATCATAGAACTTTACATGACGATTATGCTTAAAATAACATCTACATAGATAACACCCATCAATGTAAATATCTGTGGAGTTCCCAAAAATGCCCCTCTTCTTCATCAACAGACCCCTGGTCAGAAACAGGTGTAAAGTTCTTCACAATACAAATAATTTGAGCTCAAACACAAGGTAGTTGACAATCGTCGGGGAGTTCCTGCCTATCAGCTCTATCATTACATACTCCACACCTTTATTAAATGGCAGTGCTTTATGCTGCTAATACACAGTCGGATCGTCTCTACGATAACGTACCATTCGATTTCTGATCTGTGATCATCACATCCTGATTTACTTATATTCCCTTCCACCTTAAAAGTACTTCCAAATAAAATGAAACGACAAAGTTATGAAGTTAAAGTTGCTTAAGGGTATCAAAGATGGTTCCATTCGCTTTTATACATTAGCGAAATATTTATAAATAAAATAGGGACATAGATATACATTGTTAATGTATTAAATATATTGCAGCTTATCAAACATGCGTTACGTGATGGCAAGCAACAAATCAAAATGGAAGTTATTTCGTAAGAGGGAGTAAGTTAAAATATATGTCTGTATATGTATAGACTGCTCTGTGGCTCACTGGTTAAAACTATTCACTTGTATTGGCCTAGGAGTGATCGTGGATTCGAAATGGGCGAAAAATTGTCTAGGTCAGATATTCTGCAAAACTCTGATCATATAATGCATTGTTTCAATACTATTCAATATTGTCAGTAGTTTACGCAAGTAGTACTAATTCAAATGAACACTTTTATTGGTTTAAAAATTATTATTGATTACGACCCGACGTTTTGACGTGTATGTATGTAGCCGCATGCTGAAAGTAACCGTATCCGAAGTATAGGGTCGTATTTAAATTAAAAATAAATTTATTCACCGACGTACACAAAACAGTGAAAATCTTCTGGCACAGTTGTTGATACATACTCGTAAAGGATGTTAAAATATATTTATTTTGACAGAATCACGCCAATACCCGCATACACAGCTGCTGCGTCTTTGAAGCCCAAAAAGGGATGCCCCTGTGGCAACGATGGACCTTGCAAACAAAAGATAACACCACGAGGAGTCACCATACATTACCCACAAAAGTATGTTATTTATTATATTATGGATGACACAGATCTTGTCACTTGAGAGAGCCTTTTTCTTAATTATTACCGTTATTTTATATAAAACCATAAAAGGCCAATTTATATGACAACGGTAATGGCAGCAATATATAACTAATAAATAAATGAAATGAATAAATCTTTTTTGGAAATTAAAATGTTAGCCTTTATCTGGAAATTAGAAAATAAATGCGTACTATTGAAATTCCGTCCGGGTTACGCACCACTCTATACAGATAAATCCAGTAAAGATCAGTAAAGTTTATTCTTGTTTTGGGTTCAGTCTATAGATTTTGATAGTCGTTCTGTTTAGATGTTATATGGCATCGTCGCATGCGTTCCATTTCATGCTTGTCTGTCCTCTATCATAAAAATACGATCAATTACGGGCTATAAACTATACGTATAGGCGTAAGACAAGATCCGTGTCTTCATGTTTTATTAAACGGAATGCGTTTTTTTTCGGCTCAAGCTGTCGAAATACGGTTAAGGTTTTTGTAACCGAAGTCCCCCTTCTTTTTATTATATATCGTTCAAATATACATTTTGCTTCAGAAAGAAAAAGCTATTTGGAGCGAGCAAAGCCTACATTCCTCCGAAAACTGAAAGAAGTTATTTAGGAAGCAATAAGTTAGTATAGAATAATAAATTTATATTCTAGCATAGTAAAAGAAACTAATATAGCTAAACAAGCGTCTCACGTTAAGCTTCATCAACTTTCTTTTGCTATAGTTGTGAACAGCAATCAAATTCAATAAGCGAATATTTTTCTTAGCAAAAGATTTCACCCAAAAACTGCACGGCGACGCATTACGAAGAATCTTAGTAAAAAAATATCATTTCCAATGCCATTCTTCTTTAACTAAGGTGAGTTAATGTCGTGGACGTTAGATTAATTATTTACTAATATATTAACGCACGCTTTACTGTGGGGGTCCGTAGTGAAAGAGTAAGAATACCATAAGTAAGATTTTTCTGTACATCTGTACGTTAAAATGTTAAATAAACAATGAAAAAATACAGTTTTAAATAATGATAATAAATAAAAATAAATTTCAAATAAACAACATATCGAAATTAAACACTAACGATTTAAAACGAGATATATATTAGTTAACTCACATTTAATTTATATTAAATGATGATTCGACGTTTCGTTTCCTTTTTTTAGTTTAGTTTTTGTCTCCCCTGCGACCACGGTTGCTGCAAAGTGTCCGAAACGTCTGGCCGTAGTTAATATACATTTCGAATATGTTTCACTAATGTGAACACGTTTTTAATCGTTAGTGTTTTATTTCAATGTTCACTACCCGCGTAAACTACGGACGGTATTTAAAGATTTCTCTATTTAGTTTTTAATGTTAAAATTAAGACTATTTAAAGATATAAATGTTAAATTTAATAAGTTTGGTTAAATATCATAACATCAATTAACTTAATCTCGTTTCAGCCCACGTCCCAAAGTGAAGATTGTACGGCCAAGGAAGTTTCCTACCTGGAGATTAGACAAGATATACTACAGGTAACCCGGTAGGCATCTGATGTTAATTGCTCCTAAACTAGTGCATTTTACTGCTCGGCAATTTCGGAAGATTTGCACCTAGGCTCTAATTAAAAGGCTGGATGAACTAAAGAACTATTTAAATTTATATATAATACTAACGGTTTAAAACGCGATATACATTAGTTAAACTTATCTTAACTATGGTCGACGTTGTCCCGTCTCCGCGAGACCACGTCGGGCCGTTGTTAAAATAACTTTCAAATTAGTTTTACTAATACATATCGCGTTTTAAGCCGTTAGTGTTCCATTTAAATGTGTACTAATCGCGTAAACTATAGACAGTATTTAAATAAATAAAAAATACGACACGGGCGGTATTTGAACCGGCAACCCCAGCGTTCCGTGCTGCTGCTCTATCCAATTGAGTTAAGATTTTGAAAACTTTAATATTTTGTACATGATGACATTATATAAATTAAAAATCGATTTAGATTTTAAAAAATGCGACACGGGCAGTATATGAACCAGCATACACAGCGTTCCATGCTGTTGCTCTAACCATTTAAGCTACCGTGTCCTACACGTCATCGTCAACCATCGTTTTTTCAACCTATCGATACATGCACCTCTCACGCAATGGAATTTCTTTAACACCAACACATGAAAAATAAAAAATGGCCTTTTTAATATTAAAGTTTTCAAAAAGCTGCACAGTAAAATGAAAAATTGTTTTGTTTGTCTTTACAACCTATCGATGTTCCACAGCAGTAGACAGGGACCAGGTCCTTGCTGCGTACAAAGCCTTTAAGTCATATAACACAACATAGCCCAAACGCATGATGTGGTAAATACCAAAAAATTTTTTTTTCAGACCCACTCTTGGAGCAAGAATGTATTTTTAGATTAACGAAAAAAACTATTTTGAAAATATATTTTTAAAAATCGAATCAATTGTTTTTTTTATCGCACATAACGGCATATCGTGTTATTGATAATATAATCAAAATATATTATATACACTAATATATATTAAGAAATCCCGTTTCCCCCCATGAGTCGTGGGGCAAACACATTTCTGTGTCTGTTTCACTGTTTGGTTTACAGGCAAGTAGTTAATCAGACATCTGCGCCCTATCCAAGGGAAAAAATCGATTGTTTGTCTGTGATTCAAACCCAGGACCTATTTAACCTAGGAATATTACTCTACAGACACGCCCATATATATAAAGGCTAAATAATAAATATCTTCCTTTAATTAGTTCATTTATTTAATAAGGTTTACTAACAGAAAGACAAAATTAAAATAAAACACTAACGGTTTAAAACGCGGTTCGGACGCTTTGTGGTCATGGGGAGACTAAAGATGGAGGATATCTCTGACGTCAAAGTAAAAATTGCTACGCTCGCGCCCTCTGTTCCGAAACGTCGGGCCGAAGTTAAAAATTAATTTTCAAAAAAGTTTAACTACTATATATCGCGTTTTAAACCGTGAAAGTGTTTTGTTTAAATGTGCACTACTCGCGTAAACTACAGACAGTAGAAAGACAAAGATTATTCTTCATTTCGAACCAGTAGTTTCTGAAATAAGCTCATCTATACAAACAAAGTTTAGCTTTATAATATTTGTAAAGATACATATATATGAAACGCGTGATCCTAAATATAGCACTTATCACTTACCTAACTTGTATCCCGCTATTTCCAACTGAGAAATGTATGGAAAAGTAAATAAATCATTTCTTTCAATTCCATACGTCACAACCCTTGTCAGACACGGTGTGACTTTTATCTTTTGTTAGGCAGTGGTTGTATCCCGGACAAGTCTTTATTAGCCCTCAATTTCAGGGATAGTGTAACTGTTGAATATTTATTACTAAAGGGATAAAAATGAAATAAAATATTTTAGCACATTAACACTGACGCCCTCCATCTTTAGTCTTAAGTGACGGCCGCCGCAAAGCATCCGAAACGTCGGACCGTAGTTAAAATAATTTATAAATATTTTAAGTAATAATTTTCTTGTTCTAAACAAGTAAAAATGTTTTAATTTAATGTATACTACTCGCGTTAACTACAGACAGTTCTTATATTAGCTGAATAGTTCGCACGACCAGGAATCAAACTTGTAGCAATATTTATGTAATTGTAAAGCTAATAAAATGTAGAATATTTTAAAGCAGTGCACTAAAGATTACTAAATTTTAAACTATGATCAATGTGATAAGACATATAAACGAGAAGAAAAAGAAAATTAAAAGTTTAAAAGATCCATCTAAGTATAATCCATGAACCACAAACGACCATATCATTATTAATATATAAGACTATCTAATTGTGTTTGAAATTCTGAATTAAACTATATTTTATGCTAGTAGAGCATAACGTCTCGTGACGATGCGCTATCGGCCTATTTTGTTTATTTGGAATAAAACAACAGAAAAATAACCTCTTCCTTTATGTGAAACAAGACATATATATGAGTATGTTTGAAAACTTTATTATTATTATTTTTTTACATGTTATTGCAATTATGAAGGCACTATATAATTTTAAAATCGAAAATAAATTGAAAAAATTTTCGACTCGGGCAGGACTTGGACCGGCATCGTCAGCGTTTCGTGCTGTTGCTCCTCCCCGAGTCGAAATTTTTTTTTCAATTTATTTTCGATTTTTTAATTTCTGTGAATGTTTTCCCTTGATTCGAACCCTGGTCTTCTCACAATTAACGCAGTTACGAATTTATTGAACTATCGAGATTTAGAATTTGACTGTATAACAAAATTATAATTGTAATTAAATTTAATGATTACTCAGTACAATGAGACCTTTGTTAAGAAAACAATACACTATCATAAAATACGTTTAAACGAAGCGAAAACATTCCTCAAGTAATCTAAGTTAGCGCGGAGTGATTGAAGGCAAATGAGTTGAGACATTCTTGGGTTTTAATGAACAACTTTTAATTACTTGTTAACAAATAAAATGTATCGGGCTTCTTAATGGGGAGTTTGGGAAGTTTTACAAATTCCTTATGTTGTTAATTAGAAAGAAATAATAGACCCGTCTACTTACGGCACTTAAAGTGTACTAAATATGTATTAACTCGTGAAGTTGATAAAATATCCAAACTCAAAATAAGTCGACAGCGCATTTTGTTTAGGTGCTATAGGCTGGGCTCACCCACCATCAAGTGTATGACCATGATTGTCTCTCCTATTCTATTAAAAAAAACTATGTACCAAATATTGTGTGTGTGTGTGTGTTTGATAATACTGTGTCCCAAAACTGGGACACCGGCCTTCTTTAAATCTTAATTAACCAAATACGCACTGTCAAATAATAATCATAGAAATCGGTTCTGTTTCCTTTACACAGGCTTTGGATACGTGACTGGGTATCGAACTCCCGATGTTTAATTATAGAAGTAGGCTATATTAATACGTCAGTACAACCGTTAAAGTATCGGATATCATCAATGATAAAAAACGCAATTCAATATCAGATATACAGCAGAGCATCATTTTAAATAAATAAGCCGCAGTTGATATCTTTATGTAAATATTTAGTTTATTTATAACTAAATGTTTAACTAATTTATACTTTCACAGATAATCTTCTGGTGAACTATAGCTTTTTCTCACCGTACCTAAATCTAGATAACAAAGAAAACTAGGTAATAGATAATAGTCATAAGAAAGATGGTTTGCTTGAGCAAAAAGTACAATTAATCCAACACAGTAATTATTGCCCGCGACAATCCGACTAAAAAACCACAAACACAGATTGATGGCACCAGTAGCGACAGTAAAAACGCGATTTTATACAATACGGCTTTCGAGCCGTAAGGAAGATTATTTCCTCATATATCATCATCATCTTGAGATTAGGAATACATTTTTTTTTTAAAAATTTTTTCTCAGACAAAAATGTGGTCAATAAGTACAGAAATGAGACGTTAAACCATACGTCCAATGTCTTAACAATTGACACGGTAGCTCAATTGATTTATTTGTATAATATCATCATGTGCAATGATAAACATGTAAAAAAATATAAACTGTTAGGAATTGAATAACTATATTTTTCTACTTGTGACTTCACCTGAACTAAACTTCTAAGATGGGATGTTGGCGCTTATATAAGGACTTACAAGTACTCGGTTGACTTTCTAAAATTAGTTGTACTAGTATCAAATTATTGAGCTTCTTATTAATTTTACAATCGGCCGATTGAACCAACAGTTGTCAAACATGAAAACATCATATAGATTATAGATTGTGGTTTTTAAGCGTCAAAATTGCGCGACTGTTTCAAATGTATTCTGTGGCCCACCTGAAAAGTAGGGAGTTTCCTTGACATTCGGAGTAATTACTTCTTTTTTAACGAGACTTGTTTTGCGTTTCATTCGGTGAGCTCTTTTTATTTTTTAAACGTCATTAAGTTGATAAAAACTGGTGATTACAGTTTCAACTGAAGTTTTTCGTCTTTGTGTTTCGACTGCTTGAAGTACTTTACTCATTAATGATATTAAATATTTTACAACTTTAAATTCTATTGTTTTAGACATTTTTACATTTTATTTACTTAAACAAGTATATTTGATATACAATTTAAATAGAATAAATGTATATATATGTAACATATTGTAATCTATACTAATATTACAAAGTTAAAGAGTTTATTTGCTTTACGCGCTAATCTAAGGAACGACTGGTTCGAAGTGAGAAAATATTTGGGAACCATGACCGTTTATCGAAGAAGGCTATAAGAGCAAACGAAGGGAGGAAACAGTGGAAAATGTGGATAAAACTGGGAAATGATTAATCTTTTGCGTTGCGTGCGTGCAGTTTAAGAAAAAAAATGAATTTAAATAAAACACTGTAACGTTTAAAACGCGATATATTAGTTAAACTAATTTGAAAATGATTTTTAACTTGGCCCACTTTCGGATGTTTTGCAACATCCGTGTTACGGGGAGACTTAAAACGTTGGGCCGAAGTTAAAAATCATTTTCAAATAATTTGTTAAACCAATATCGCTTTAACCGTTAAAGTGTTTTATTTAAATATGTACTACTCGCTTAAACTATAGACAGTATTTAAAAAAAGGAATGTTTTTTTCGATCATCTAAAAAATATCCTCAGTACAGTGTAGCTTTCTTTAGATTAACTCACAAAAACCGACCAGTTTGGTCGAAATACTCACACTGGCAAAAGAAGGAAATTGTTTTCAATAACAAAACACATTTGTAACACATTGCTTAATCATAGCATTTCCTTGGTTTTATTGATTCTTATTCTTGAGGCAATAATCATAGTCGACGTTGATATATCTTAAAGAGAATAATTATTCGTTATTACGGATTTCTATTTGACCCTTGACCTGCATTTTCTTTGGAAACACACGGGAAACTATATGGTTGGCGAAAATTGCATAAACGTCTCTAATTTCATAATATAAAAATCTTGTTGAATGGTACAGTAGTATCTTATTCGAATTAAAATAATTATTATAATTCCAATATGTAGTTTTAGAACATTAGCAGATTTACTAAAATAAAAACAAAATAACACAACAACTAAATAAATTTAAATTCAACAAAAGCCTATCGACCGGGCAGAGACCGTTCCGTACAACGAGCAACGAAAGAAGTGTCTGAGCCGCTGCCTGAGGCTTGTTTATATACCTTCAGTGTGGCGGGTAGTTGAGTTTTTCTGATGATTTCCAACAGTAGATTATAGATTTAATGATAAACATTAAATACTATGTTAATATGTTTTACATTTCTGCTGCTGCATAAAAAAAAAGCAAAAATAAAATCCACTAATTTCGTAGTTCCATCTTCAAGTCTTTCTTTTTCTTATTTGTTATCTTACGACATATGACTTGATGTATTAATAAT